CCCCTGGATGCCCGGATCCCCTTCTCCTTGGCAACCCCTGGGAAATTGGGGACACACGCGGCTACTCGGGGGGGCATTTATGGGGGGAGCAGCCGCCAATGCTTTCGCTTCATTCTTTTTTTTTTTTCTCCCCCCCCCCCCCCCCCCATATAATTTGATGGGCTGCCTTCCATGGAGTTTTGTGTGTTTGTGTAAATATAGGAAAATGGCTGGCAGTAGATAATGTGCATTGACAAGATGCAAATGGGCTGGCAACGACCGGGGACCTTTGAAACCTTCCTGGGATGTCTTTCTAGACAGGGTGGGTCCCACTGAGCTGGTGCTAAACTCCTCTCCATTGCTCCTTCTTTCCTTTTCTCATTTTTCACAACTGCCTCCTATCTTCGCTGGCCCACTAAGCCTGGGACCTACTTTAAAGTTAAGGTTAATTTCATGTAAAGAAACCTGGTACGTCCTTTCCAAAGAAGCCTCAGGATTTTACACTGAAGTGAAAGCAAGAAGGACATGAGGAATTCTCCTAGGGTGCAGGCCAACCCCATAGTGACTGCACTGAGCGTGGCCTTTCGCTCGATGAGCCACTTGTCCCTGCAGGCTCTCATGGTCTTCTAAGGGGTGTGCAAGAGAGGACTCTTGTATGTGTTTTGTCGCTGCCTCTACATGTGACATTCAAAAGGGATCAGCACCCAGAAATAAACCAGGGGACCTAAAACAAACAAACAATTAACATGCAGATGAGACAACCGTTGGCAGTCAGACCTCAGCACAGGCATGTACACCTGCTCCTCCATGGAGTGGGAGGGATTTCCAGGTTATGGGGCTGTGTGTAGGGACGGATTGTTTATTGTGGGTAGGCCCTGATGTCAATTCCTTAATCAGAATAATAAAATACTCCCAGTGAGTAATATTTAAAACAACAGATGAAGTCACGCACACGTTGGAGGTACCTGGGGCTTTGGATGGGATTGCGCCGATAGGTGTGTCCAGCCAGAGGCACAATGTAGAACAAGGGGGAATTTGTCATTGCCTTTGCTCGTTAACCTTTTGGGACAGCGACTTGGACACAGTGACTCAGAGCAGACAGAACTGTGCCTTCAGAGAGAAGGGCTGGGCTGAGCAAGGACACCAGGGAACGGCAAACTGCCCTTTTCAGGAAAGGCTCCCGTGGCTCTGAGTCGGGGAAGTGGAAGGGATGAGCGGAGGTGGAAGGGATGAGCGGAGGTGGAAGGGATGAGCGGAGCAGACCCGTCCCCACGCACCGCCTCGGTGCCCAGCAAAAAGAGCCCCGAGGAACCCGTTTCTGGAGCCGCCGGGCCGGCAGCCATTCTCCCTCCAGGCGCCCTGGGCCCATTTGCATCCCACAACCTCCTCCCCTTTCCCCCTGGCGAGCGGTTATCTGGCGAGAAAGCGCCCAGAGAGAGACAAAAGGCTCGGCGCAGGGAGGGGACGCCCCGCTATTGATAGCCCCGGTCCGCACCCACGGGTGCCTTATCAGGCGGTTGGCTGAGCAGCGTTCAGGCCCGTCCCGGGGTTGGGGACAGGCTCCACGGCCACCCCTCCGCAGGGGTGAGTGCCCCGCTGACGTCAGGGAGGCCTTGCTTCATTTCCTGGCACGGGGGACCCAATTTTCGCCGCCGTGTGCCGTCGGAGGGGAGGGTTGGGGAGGCGGTGGAACTGGAATAGGCGTGCTCGGCCACACCTCCCCAGCCGCCAGCTGTTAAAGCTCCCACGGAGGGACACCGCCGGGCTGCTCCTCCGACGGGGCGGCAAGAAGCGGAGGTGACCGCCTTACCGGGGCACGGAGAACTTGCCTGAGCCGGAGCCTCCCCCCCCGCGTTGCCTTTTCTCCGGGCAGGACCCGAAAAGGTAAATGAATAGGGTGGTTGAGTCACCATCCCTGGATGCGTTTAAGAGCCGTTTAGATGTGGTGTTGGGGGATATGGTGTTGGGGAGAACTTTGGAGAGTAGGGTAGATGGTTGGACTCGATGATCCCAAGGGTCTCTTCCAACCTGAGTGATTCTATGATTCTGCGATCCAGGGCAGAGCTGGCTGGGGTGGGACGGTGTGTGGGACCACGTGGCGTGCGGGCTCTGGGGGGTGGTGCCACGGAGAACAGAGTGTCTCCCACCCTTTCCTCCAACAAGGGATTGCCAGCTGGAGCTGGGCGAGTTGTGGAAGACTTTCCTGGGAAATGACGTGAGATTTTGTGGCTGGATGGGTGTATTTTATGCGCAAGTATCAATGAGCGAGGAGGCTTTGGCTGGAGGGAGAAAACTCAGCGCTAAAGCGAGAACTGTGATTTGGGATGAACTGTGAAGATACCACAGCAAAGACTCCCTTGCACTGACTGCAGAGCCCCTTAGAAGTCCCATTCACTTCTGGAGGGGCTGGATGAGCAGACTCAGCTTCTGGGGAAGGGCAACGCTCACCCGGGAGTCAGGGCAGCAACTCTTCATGCCATCTACCCTCCCCAAAAAAGAAAAAGGAATAAAAATTGGCACAAATGGCCCAGTTCTCTAAGGCAGTGATGTTCTTTCCATCCTATTTGTTCCATGGGCCGTGGCAGCCAGCTGTGGCAAGTAGCCCTTGCAGTAAGTGCCACTCAGGATCCAAAGCTATATGTGTTCTGTGCAGCCCCAGGGTCTCACACTGGCTCTCTTGGCTCTCTACCTGCCCTGACAGCAGGCACCCATCTGTATATGCCAGAGATATGAAGACATAAACCAATATGATCAACAGTAAATGTTTCTGGGTAAAATTGTAGCATTTGGTCTCATTTTTCAGAAAGGTTAATCATTTATTATTCGATTTGTGCAAATTATTCAATCCCCCAAATTTTGTGAACAATTGTTTGTGAAAAGTCCTGCATGTGTTATTCACTGATTTCATTCTCTTCATGAGAGTCCAGAGTTCCTGCATATTTAAATAATTTGCATCTTATTGTAGCCAGCTTTTTGAAGAGCTGCACATCTCCTTTTACACAGTGAAGCTAAAAGCTGGAAAAATATTCCACCATTTATATGCAGGTCACATTGAGGCATATGTGGTGCTGAGAAGGAGTCAGTGGTATTTTCTCCCTTTGTTCATCCCTCGATTAGATCAACTGCCATTTGTTGAAGACTCACCTACACTCCCTAAAATCTGTTGGAAGGGTTTTAGCACCTGCTTCATAACTGCAGTGTGTTGTTCTGAGAGGGAAAACCAAGGCAAATGGCATGGTGAGCACCAAAGGCTAAATTTTGCAAGGTGAACTTTTTTCTTTATGTATCAGAAAAGAAAGCCCTTGCTTTTCCAGTGCGGGTTACCATTAAGGCCAGATTCCTCTATGTTTCATGCTGATATTATATCTAAATTCCTATTTTGATAAATTTTAGAGTCCTGAGCCTAGCTGAACAATTTGGTACCTAGAAAGCAGTACCTGGCCCCTAGGATCTAAACTCACTCAGTGTTGGCATAATGGGCAACAAAGTGCCCAATGTCCTCATGCAGTGGTTTCTGCACATGCTTCAGGCTTCCAAGGAAGCAGACAACTTAATTCCCCTCGGCGATGGGCAGGGCTCACCTCAACAGCCCTCTTATCCCCTGGCGAGACGGGCTTAAACCAGGCTTACTCAGAGAGCACTGAACTCCTCATGACGAGACAGCAGGAATGCGCTGGGTACGTTAGAGACCTTGTCCATCCTCAACTCATGAACTCCTCAAACAGTAACTTGTGGTTATTTCTGGTGCGACGAACTGTATTCGCTCTGACACGTCAGGCCTCCAGCCAGTGCAAGGCTGTATCTTGGGGAGGGGACGGAGGTCTTTGAGACAGTTCTTACTGCTGCACTGCCATGAAGAAGGAGGAATAGAAGTTTAGGGCTCATGGTTGGTGACCTATATTTGCTATTTAATTTGGAGTGAGAGGAACTATGCTGAAGGCATCCAGGTTAGTTCTCTGCAGGGTATAAGGCAGTTAAAGTTCCCCTTCATTCATACCCGTAAACCAAAGCCAAGAGTGTTTCAGAGAAAGTCAAAGAGGGAAAAGAAACAGAGTAAAGAGTTTCCTGTTTTTGCATGGCTCATCTCTGAACTTCACTGGTACGAGGTACTGATGTTGTTCGGGTGTTGTTCAAACTTGCCAAAAGAGCGTAAACTGTATTATGACTAACAGCTGCTTGTGTCACAGAAGTGACAAGGCAGCTCAGTCTCTGTGCTGCTGGGCACCAAGCTAATTCCTGCGAAAGCACCTCGCCTTCTCCCTGCTCCCCACACTCTTACAACATTGCACAACCCCAAGCATGGTGCAGAGGACATGCAAGGTGAATTGCCTCCTACTAAGGGGCTTGGCTTGCCCTTGGTAGAGGGCCAACATCAGACAAGGGGATGGCTCTGCTCCTATAGTCTCATGTTCTTAGCACTGTGGTGTTCTTGCCCAGTGAGGTGGGGATGGACATCTGTCCTGCTTCTCTTTCCCTTCTTCTGGCAGCACTCAGGTGGTTGATACAACAGCCTGTATCTTTTCTTCTTCTGCAGCTTTGGAGAAACATTTCACTGGGAGGTTGTTGAAGAAGGCAAGAAAATGACGACGACACCTCCCCGAGGCTGCGGCAGCATCGGTGCTGACTACTACCGGCTCTGTGACATGCAAGAGGCCTGGGGGATTGTCCTGGAGTCACTGGCTGCAGCTGGTGTCCTCGTCACCATTTTCCTCATCTGCTCACTCTTCTTTCTCATCTGTAAAGTCCAAGACAACAGCAAGCGGCACATGATCTCCATCTATTTCTTCTTTCTCTTAGGCACACTCGGCATTTTTGGTCTCACTTTTGCCTTCATCATTAAAGACAATGGAAGGACTCGCCCAACTCGCTTCTTCCTATTTGGAGTCATCTTTGCTCTCTGCTTCTCATGCCTCCTCACCCATGCCTGCAACCTCAACAAACTAGTGAGAGGAAGAAAGCCCTTCTCCTGGCTGGTGTTGCTGCTCCTCATTGTTTCCTTTGCCCTGGTACAAGTTGTGATCAGCATTGAATACTTAGTCACCATGCTAGTAAACCGGAAAGACGATTTTCTGACCATGCCTCCGAACGCAGCCAACAAGGACTTTGTCATGCTTTTGATCTATGTGCTCTTCTTGATGGCTCTGACCTTTTTGGTTTCCATGTTCACATTCTGTGGGTCATACAAAAGCTGGAAGAGGCACGGGGCACACATCTTTGTCACGATCCTGTTCTCCATTGCCATTTGGGTGGTGTGGATCACTATGCTCACAAAAGGCAACGCAGTTTTAGGCCAGCGTGAGTGGGATGATCCTGTTGTGGCCATTGCTCTGGTATCCAATGGATGGATCTTCCTGATAATGTATATTATTCCTGAAATTTGTTTCCTCACTGCCCCTCTCAAGCTGGAGGACTACCCTCCAGAAAATGACTTCTGCCAGCCCAAATTCCTAAAGCAGACAACTGGAGTGGACAACCGTGCCTACACCCAAGATGAAATTGTGCAAGGTATGATGAAGTGAAAGACTCCACTGTCCCTCAGCCCTAAGCACACGTGCACGACTCATGAGCTAAAAGGGGTAGGAAGGCTACAGGGATAGATTTGAATATGATGGATAATTTAGAGGCAGGAAGAAGTTTCAGATTGATGAAACTTCAGAAATGCAAGTGAAAATGAATCTCCACACAAGAGGGAAAAGAGTAAGGACTGATGCAAAAGCCAAAGATTTGTAGGAGTGACTAAGTAGGTGACTTACTGGGTGTCAGAGCTGAGACATAATTCCTTACGTCTGGAAAGTCTGTGTAAAAATTCAGGAGTTTTTTGTTTGTCTCCTAGCAATGCTCCAGCTCGTCAGACCTCTCCAGGTTATACCTTGGAGATGATTTATTCCAGTACTGATCTGATTACCATTAGCTATTTAAAAATGAACCCATCATCCAAAAAGGAGGAAAGGAAGCCTCACTTTTCTGTATGAGTCTCATGCCTACTTGGACAAAGCAAAATGTTTTATCAATTGGGGCTCCCAATTCTATGGGTAGGAGATGTGACTGCACTCCCTGTGGATCTGCTACTGAGATCACATTTGTCTCCTGAAGTCAGACCTCCTGGTTCATAAAAGAATAGCTGAGAAAGGCTGTGCTTTCCCAGGGAATACTGCAGAGGGGTCTTGTGCATGCCAGTGGGAGGGATTTGGCCAGTGATGATGACAGTAATTGTGAGGCAACAGGAGGTGTCTAAACTCCAAGGCCACCTGTGTCCTGTTATTTGCAATACCATTCATTCCTGATTTCATAAGGAAATATTTAATGTCACCCACCTATGGATTTTAACCCATTCCTGCCTGCATATTCCATAGTTTGATCAGTCTAAAAGCAGCTGCTAATGCAGCAACAGGCCCTTTGAGTCTCCCTTGATCTGCTATTTCCAAGCTACTGTATCATGCTAACTCACTAACTTCCCCCCCTTCTTGTCTTGTGATTCAGGAGACACAGGAGACCTCAGCTACTCCCCATACTCTTCTCACTTTCAGATGAAGGTAAGTTCACGCCCCCCTTCACCCGTTTCACCACATGTAGGCTACTGTTCAGGCACTGAAGGGAAAGGAAGGAGAAGGGGCAAAGACAGATGGACCTCAGGCAGGCTCTGTGGAGGGAGACAGGTGCTACACATGGAGCTGGTCGATACCGTGACATGTTCATGGAGGTGCCTGTGGCTGAGGGGAGGGACCTATGATGTCCGGGGACATGGGGAGGCAAGAGGGCCCTGAGGAAAAGTCTGAGGTTGTGGTTCTCAGCACATCTGAATTTGACATGACATAAGAAGTCCTCTCTTTGAGCATAGTTCCTGCAGTAGACTGTGCCCTTTCCTTGGGAGATCATGCTCCTTTCCCCATCCTGTGCCCTGAATATAGTCCTACCACCAGTCACTGGAAATTGCAGTGTGGATCCAGAGTGGGCAGTCTACATGTCTCCATGTCTGTTCACCAGTCCTCCTTCAGACCACAGCCTAGCCCAGTCTAGTAGCTCATGTCATGTCCCCACATGTCCTCTGGAGACATGTCTCTGTAACTGGTCTGCTGTGCCAGGATCTTCTTCCACAGCCCCACTGATCACACAGTTTCTCTCTTTCCTCTTATGTTTTTTTGTGTTTTTTTTTTTTTTTTTTTCATACCTGTATATATGATATAGGAGCAAGAAACCATCTTTAACATCTACGTCTTCTACCCTGCCTGA